AAAAAAAAAAAAGGGGGGGGGGAAATTGACATAAGAAAAGCTTGTGGCTACGATTAGGAGATTTTTCAAGTAAACACACAAATGGAAGCCTAACTCTTTTTACAACTACTCAAAATTGAACATCATTATATTAATATTAATAATGATATGGTTGGGCAGGGACCCTGGAGATCCTCTACTCCAACCCCCTGCTCAGGCAGGAAACCCTATACCATTTCAGACAAATGGCTGTCCAGTCTTTTCTTAAAAACCTCCAGTGTTGGAGCATTCACCGCTTCTGGAGGCAGGTTGTTCCACTGGTTAATTGTTCTCACTGTCAGGAAGTTTCTCCTTAGTTGTAGGTTGCTTCTCTCCGTGATGAGTTTCCATCCGTTGCTTCTTGTCCTGCCTTCAGGCACTTTGGAGAATAGCTTGACTCCCTCTTCTTTGGGGCAGCCCCTCAGATACTGGAGCGCTGCCATCATGTCCCCCCTCGTCCTTCTCTTCGTTAAACTAGACAGACCCAATTCCAGCAACCGTTCCTTGTATGTTTTAGCCTCCAGTCCCCTAATCATCTTTGCTGCTCTTCTCTGCACTCTTTAATGTCACCTTTCTGACAGTAATCCTGGTGTCACGCTTGTTGCCAAATTTTGCAGTGCTCTTTTCTGCACTCTTTCTAGAATCTCAACCTCTTTTTTACATCGTGGTGACCAAAACTGGATGCAGTATTCCAAGTGTGGCCTCACCAAGGCCTTGTAAAGTGGTATTAACACTTGACGTGGTCTTGATTCTATCCCTCTGTTCATGCAGCCTAGCACTGTGTTGGCTTTTTTGGCAGCTGCTGCACATGGGTGGCTCGTATTTAAGGGATTGTCCACTAGGATTCTGAGATCCCACTCAGTTACTACTACTGAGCAAGGTAGCACTTATACTGTACTTGTGCATTTGGTTTTTCTGGCCTAAAAGTAAGTAGAACCTTACTTTTTTCACTATTGAATTTCATTTGGTTAGTTAAACAGACTAGCAACTTTGATGAATGCTATGATCAACTCAAATCAATCCACTATAGGATATTCACTGATGGGTATGGACTATGATTTATCGCACTGGTCAAAGACAGGTTGATAAGATTGACCGGTCCATCCAACTGGTTTCTGTGCCTGAAGGAAACCAGAATCCTAGTTTCCCTTTCCCATTCTAGCTTCTTATAACCATTATACCAGTTCTCTCATAATTTCTAAAAGACAATCAAATTGGTATTTTAAATCACAACTTAGATTCAGTGAAACTTTCACTGTACTGCCAAAAAGAAAGATGAGGATGAAAAAAAGATTAATATGTCTAGAGTGACCAAAGGTTTTGGGATTCATGTTACCAATATTAACTATGCTCCAGTGTTCACTGGCTACAGCATTTTGTGATATAGTATGCGCTCTCAAAGGAAGCATTTGGCGATTTCACAGCTGTATTGCTAAATCTAATACTGGTACCTATATTACAATCTAATGATGCAAGTTATACTAGGCATTTTTCGCTTACTTTTATGAGTCTGCATTTAATTCCTAGATTATGACAATACACAACTGGGGAAAAAATTGATGATTAATATAATCACCCGTGAATATGTCAGCAGCATCTCTGACATTACTTACCAATTTCCATAATCAAAATCAAACGCTATTGTTATTTCTGTTCCCTTTGGAATGTCCTGGGTGGAATAGATATAAAGGTGAATAGTTCCATCTTCAATGGCATGTCTAACCTAGATGGAAAAAAAGCCAGTGTTTAAACATAAGAGTATTTTATGTGTTTTAAACATAGATTTGTTCCAAATAAAGACTTTTATCTTCTTATTGCTTTGGTAAAATCCTCTGTTCCAAAGCAGGGGAGGGCAGTCATAATAAGATCATTTTATATCATTAATGAAATAAATACAGTCTGTTCATAATGTATATACAACCACGTAGCACTATAAAGAACTCTTATATTCCACATTCAATGGCTCAAAACATTCCATTAATTTCAGTTGGCTAGCAAGCAGGGAAGGAAACTTCTCAATTGGGGCCTGTGAAGAATGCATGAGCCACTCGGAATTAGTTATTTAAAAAAACTAATTTAGCTAGCGTCAGTATTTAGGAAAGCAAGGAAATGAAAAAAATTAAACATTTATATTCCTAAAATGGATTGTTTCAGTTATAAGGTGTGAAACAGTACAATATTAATTTTTAAAATCAAGCCAATTCCAGCAGCTTTGTTGACTTTCTTTCCAGTTACAAACACAAAGACACAATACCTTAAAAAACAAACAAACCAATTTCTTGGAAATGAAAGTTGTATTTTATACATTTCTGTGCTTTTTTTCAACCGTTAATTTGAAACAAGCTTTTGCATCTCAGATGTTTGCTTGTGAGGGAAGGGATAATGGTGCAATATTTTTGTTCAATATATCTTGGAAGAGTTCCCAAATTGCCATAACAAATAGGTTCTGTTGTGTCCTAATTCTATGCCTGCATGAAGGATTGCATAAGCAGGACACAAATGAATTCAGTTTCTTTTCTAGAATTTCTACAGAAACACTAGTCCAAATTTTAATACGGGCTTTCAATTTCCATATCCTACAAATTCAGTTAAATGGGAAGTTTAATTTTATTTAAGAATTTAGGATGTTATCTAAGGTACAGTACCAATGACAAATGTAAAAAAGATCCCTAACTTAAGAAGAGTAAGGAAGCAGACAAACTCAAACTTGTATAATTTTACCCTTATTTTCTCCAAAAGAAATACCACCAAAAGCCAGTAATAAAGTCTCCTTCCTTCCTTCCTTCCTTCCTTCCTTCCTTCCTTCCTTCCTTCCCATCAATAAATATTAAGAATTATCACACCTATGCCAGTCAACTCATTCATACAAAAACGTCTTTTTCATATTCAACTGTGAATGACGACGGTCAATAAGTAACTCATATTCTCAATTTCATTCCTTCTGGCCTTGTTTCCTTTACAAGTTCAGATACATTATTTGCTCAGAATATTGTTCCCTGCATCTGATAAAGTAAATGACACTATACTGCATCTGCATTCTTGAAAAAGTCCCGAAACTCTAATTTTGTTGCATTAAATTCATAGCTAACCCTAACCCTTGGTTTTAGAATTTGGGTGGTGGTGGTGGGTAATATTCCCTTCTCTTCTGCCACATTAATACAATAATGCACCAGCTTTAGTGATCTAATTACAGCACAGCACAGCACAGTAATACCATACACATTCTTGTCTCATTTTATAATAAACATAAGGTTCTGTAACTCGAGCTTACATTCCTTGAAATGTTCAAAACTGGAAAATATTTTAATTCCTGGAAAACAGCTACACACAGCTGGGTCAAATTAAGACTGGTTTGTTGAACAGAACGTTATTAGGTCATATTTATAAATAAGAAAGGCCTACCTCGGCATTAGGTGTACAAGAACGTCTGATAAATCGAGCTTCGTTTCCGAAGGTTCTTGCATCCACACACATTTCCAGCCCGTGAAATTTAGAATAGAACAGAACAAAGGGGTACGGCCTAAAAACCAGTGATAATAAACATTCTGTTGTCACAGTGAAAATATTTAAAAAAAATAACTAAAAGTTACTTCGTTTTTCAAATGTGTAGACAAGCAGGTACCACGGAGAAAATGTGTCACAATGTTATATTTTATATATATGCACTATAAACTTTGGGGTGGGAAGCTTCACTGCAACTTTTTATTTATTAGTTCAGAACTATGATCAAAGTGGGACTTTTCGGGCAGGCTGAAACAATTCGCTCCAATCTATTAACAACCAAGCAGTTACTAAAATTATTATGCCGTGGTTAACAGTATTGTCCAGAAAATTAAAAAAACCAAACAAAACTCAACCATCATCTTTCCCTGTCATATTTTCCATGGTTACCATCCGTGACGAAGAGAACTAAAGGGGAAAGCTCTGTTGGGATCAATGTCTCTTCTTTAGTAGACTTATAACATGTTGTTTATAAATGACTTCATGATAGTTTTATACTGTAAAAGTTGAATTTAATTCCTGGTAACTTTGGGATTCATACATACAGAGTTCTTGACAAGGTACTTGTCAACACTGGAAGTTTTTAAGAAGAAACTGGACAGCCATTTGTCCGAAATGGTATAGGGCTGCCTGCCTGAGCAGGGGGTTGGACTAGATGACCTCCAAGGTCCCTTCCAACTTTATCATTATTATTATTATTATTACTTACAAGTATGAGGTTGTTTGCCACCTATTGTTTTTTTTGGGGGGGGGGAGGGGTATCTATTTTTTTTAAAATTCAATTAAAGAAGTCAAATGTTATTACATCCCGAGGCTTCATAAGATAGTAAACTTAAAAAGCAGCATCATAAATAATCTTTTTGACTCGCATCATAGCATCAAGAAAATTGGCGTGATCTTGCTTTGACCTGCATTTCAGTTGCCATTATTGGAACTGAGGAAGAATTCTATTTTACATCAGATTCACTGCTGACTTTCCTGGCCATTCTAGGGCTATTTTGATTTGGGCAGAAGGCTGGCATGTTAGCCTAACTGCCCTGTTTTTTGAAAGGCAATCAAACCAAGTAGCTCCTCAGAGATTTAATGAATGAGAAAGCTGTACATGTAGAGTGATGCTGGCTTAGGAAGTTTAAGGTTTTGTTGATTTTGTTTTGGTTTTGTGGTTCAGGTTTTTTCATTTGTCAGGAATCCTTGTGGAATCAGCACATATAAATATTGTAAATAAAACATTTCAAGAATGTTAGAGAGAGAGAGAGAGAGAGAGAGAGAGAGAGAGAGAGAGAGAGAGAGAGAGAGAGAGAGAGAGAGAGAGAGAGAGAGAGAGAGAGCTGCTTTAGCATCTACTAGATGGATGGTTTGTTGTTTTTTTTAAAAAAAATCAAAGTGAAGATTTGTATTTTTGCTTTGCTGTTTAGCTTCCAAGCATTCCGTTAAGACATTTCTTAATAAAACCAAAATATAAACTTAAACAGAGAAAGGAAACCATTACTATTTATTCACCTTCCGCCGCGCCCTCAAGACATGGCTTTTTCAACAAGCGGGCCTGACCTAGGGTGAGTTTTAAATAGGGACAATTTTTAACGATTTTAAAGAGCCACAGCTACCAATATTTGGGTTTTAATTGGTTTTTTAGTAGGGGAAATTTTTTGTATGATGTTTTAATATGCTGTGAGCCGCCCTGAGTCCCATGGGGAGAAGGGCGGCATATAAATTCTGTTAAATAAAATAAATAAATAAATAAATTCAGCATGCTTAGTGAGAATGACATTTTTTTTTCTTGACAAATAGGGAGAAAATTTAAAAAAAAACCCCGAAACAATAAGGTATGTCATTGAAATACAAGTGTCTGGAAGAAAATACACTTATCGTGTGGATAGCCTTTTTTCTCAGTATGAAGTATGCTAAATCTGTCTGAATTATAAAATTTACCACGTCAATCCTTGTGATTATCACTAATTAATTTAATCCAGCAGAAAGGTATTGAGATCTATCTACTCAGGCAGTGTGTAACATCTGCTGTAATGTCTTTTCTTTGAAGTTGCCTGGCTCTTTCATAAGCAGCTTTAATTTTACGTTTGCTAAGTTAATGACTATCTACATGCAGCTTTTACTTTTCATTTGCCAGGCAACATGTGGAGAATGCAAGTCAGTCAAAACAAGCAACTTCAAATGATGGTACCAGACTGAGGCATAGTGATAAAAATATTGAGACAAATGGCAAAAAAAAAAAAGTTTAAAAGGCTGGAGGAGATAAAACTGTGTATGTAAAGTAGAAATGAGAAGGAACAATGCTGTCTAATTACCAAAGTGAATGACAATAGCTACTTCAGATTTCAAAAGGAAAGCTGACTGAGATGGAAAGTGAAAACCAGGTGAAAAATGTATTTAATTTGCTTGATAATTGTTAATATGTTTAAGAGAGAGAAGGGAGGGAGAGAATAACTGAAAGAGGTTAAATAATGTTATAACAAGATTTTAGAGAAAGGTACCTCTTAAAGAAATATCCATTAGCTTCAAATTGTTCCCTCAGCATGAATTTTCCGCGATATTCAATAATAAGTGCATCAGGAGGCAGGTCTTTGGCAGCTTTTAGGATTTTCTTGTTTTTTTGAATATAGCTCTAAAAGGAGAAAAGAAAAAAATTAAGAATCTTATTAACTGGCACACCGATACAAATATAATGTACCCTTTTACAGAACAACTTGGTAATTACAAATGTGTTTTCTTTTTTCTTTTTCTAAAAAAGCTAATTGATTTTATTCCTGGAAGGGCAAATTACATCAGACTTTGATTATTATATTTACACAGGCATCTTAATTTACATATTGGAAAGGACAACAACTTGAAAGGCATGTATAAATTCTATAAAACTGAAAATCAAGGCAAACTTTTTTTTTCTCCAAGACTGGGTGGGTGGGTGGGGCAGCTCTTCCCTTAAAGATGCTTCACACCATCTTATTAAAAGGCCAGAAACTGAGGTGGCAGAAGGAATGAAAAAAAACACATGAAATATGCAGTCTCTTTTACATTTTGCTAACCAGAGCAAAAAAGGACAGGTGCCAAATAAGATACATTTCAACCAAAAAAAAAATAAAAAATGCCAACATGCGGATTCTTAGGCGAAGGGAATTGCTTCTGCATTTTGGACAGCCTTTAGGGGTGGGGGATACGCCGCCTTGCTAAGAAAAAGGTCTTACTGTACTCTGACACAACAACTAAGGAACTCACACCTCTGGTAATTGTGTCACTTCTGATCAAAAGAGAATTGGCCTATATTTAGGCGAAGGTCTCTGCAAGCAGGGACATTCCTCCAAGGAGTGCGTCACGTGCGCCATGCTGATGCTAGAGAGAAAGAAGCAAAGATGCTTCTTATTACAAGAGCTGAGAATGTAACTTTTCCTTTATTGCTTAGTCTCTTTCCTACCGACATTAAATCGATCAAATAGCTTGCAGATCCCTTCCATAGACTGCATGACACGTAGTCTCTGGCTGGCATAATTTTTGAACTCTTTTTATTTTCTCATAATTAACTGTCAAGGAGCATTTACTTGGCATTGGGGGGGGGGGAATACTGCAGGATATATCTGAAGGTAGATTAGCTTGGTACTTCAAAAGTGTGTACAAATCAAATAGTTAGCACCGGGGGTCTTCAAACTTGGCCCTTTTATGACTTGTGGACTTCAACTCCCAGAATTCCTCAGCCTGGCTGAGGAATCCTGGGAGTTGAAGCCCACAAGTCATAAAAGGGCCAAGTTTGAAGACCCCCTGAGTTAGCACCTTCCTAGCCATTTATAACCAATCGCATACAATGAACTAGACAAAACATTAAGTGCTTAAGCATACTGGCATATTGTGCATCTATTGTTTTCAGCAAAAAACTGCAAGCCTGTTTATAGCCATGTCATTTGACAATACAGATGGGTTCCAAGGTATTGGTTGTTCGTGTCGAAAGTACCATTGTTTCTATCCAAGCAATGGGTTCCTCTGGGGCTAAATGGCTATCCATTTATATTTATGACCACTCTCGTAAAATGCATTACCCATCCCAAATTGGATTAATCCTGAAATTTGCCACTGCAAAACAGGAGAACATGCATTCAAGAAAATCAACAGAGATGTGTAAGAATCCCACTGTGTATTGCAAATCTGTCAAGCTATGTTGGCAAACTAAACTGGCATTGGGTGTTTTGGCCAATGATGATCCTTTCAAAAATTATAGCAACAGGGTGGAAGTAAAAATGCGGTCCAAAGGAAACAAATTTCTGTTCACTACAATTTTCCTGTTCCCCTGAGTTTATTGTTTTGTGGAAATGGAGGCCTGCGTACACTACCAGAGCCAATAATTGGGATGTGTAAAATATTCTGCGCACAACAGCTGGTTTTAGACAGTTGTGCCTGAACCGAAACATGCCCATTTGGGCTGATTTGTTCCATGGACAGAACAAAATGGTGCGTGTTCCATTCCAGATAGAAATGGTTGGGAAGACTTGAGAAAAAACAACAATCCTGGGAAGCTTAGTAACACAGGTAGGGTGGTAAAATATGCTATGTTGGGACTCCATTGTCTGTGGTTTGATAGAAGGAGAAAAATGCTGGGAAAATCAAGGGAGTAAGTAAGACAGTTGCTGGGATGTGCTGGGACATGAGCAGTGATAGCTGAAAGAAGGAGGATCAGAAAATCAGGAATTTAGTAAGCCAGTTGGATGTGCTGTTAGATGTTGTGGAGACTGTTTGGGCAATGGAGACCATTTTTCCCCTCTTTGCTCTCTCTAGATTTTGCCAAAACCTGGAACAATCTAAGCAATTCAGGTTTGGATTTGGTTCTGCCAAACCAGGGGCTGATCTGAAACAGCTCAACAAAACCTTTAGAATGCAAAATGTTTGTCCCAAGTTCAAAATATTTAGCGCGGAAGCTAAAATCTACATAACTTTTGGCCCAAACTTTGTTTAAAATATTTTCTCAGTATCTTTTGTTACAATCTGTAAGTAAATGTTATTTTTCAATACTTAAATATGGGCTTATTGTCCATATTTTATAAGACTTTGACACCATTGCACCACTGAAAAACAAGCTTATGGCTTTCAATTGTTTTTCAGTTTTACTAGTGAAAGAGACCGGAAAATGCTAAGATGTCTTTGTTTTTGATCAATGGTGTTTAAAATGAATACAGCAGCAAAGGGTTTTGAAGGATCCTTTAATTAAAATGTAGTATTGCTCACTTTTGGTCTCAATTTTTTAATTTAAGACTATGTATGTATTTTTCATATTCATGTTTTATACTGTGAGCTACCCAGGGTCAAGAAGAACACAACTCTAAATCTAATAAATAAAATGTAAAAAAAAACAAATGCTCCATCTATATAAATGTCATTTTCCATATGTATATATATATATTGATTTCTTGATTAGCAGCTGACAGATCAGGCATGTTAATGCTCAGCTGGGGTGGCTGAAATGCTATTTGTGTCATTGAAATTGAGATGGTCACACACTTTTGAATTGTCCTATCTGTCACCTTGGAGGATGGAGTTAATATTCTCTAATTACAAATTGTCTGGACCAATGACAACAGACAATTGTGTGCCTCCCTTTAAATGATCAGGACTGTAACATTTCTGTGCCACAGAAATGGAAGGCAGAAATTCCTGAATCTCAAGATAACGTAAGCCAAATAGGGTTTTATCATGGATATTTTACATTTTAATATTGCTTCTTCTTTTTCAGTCAATCCATAAATTCTCCAATAAATAACTAAAGATGTGTTTTCAAGTACATGTACACATGTAATAGTATACATGCAAGTTGCTTTCTTCCATCCCCTTATCCTTTTTTTTCAATATTTATGAATACATACATACAATCATAAAATATATGATTGAAATGCCTTTGGCAGAGATAAACACATCAGAATATGGATTGAGAGCTTCATTGAGGTTTAAAATGGAAATAAAGACAGTGCAAGCTTCATTTTGTAACAGAATCTTATTACATTTCTTGCCAGTTCTTTCTTTTATATATAAAAAAAATCTATTTTCTCCTAGTTATGTTAAAGTGTTCTTAATATTAAAGGAAACCATTTGTGAATGAGTCATAGGCTAACCAGACTCTCACAATTCCATCTCCAACAACTTCTGCATGACACAAAATGACTGTCAGCTGCCGATAGTGGCTGAAAGCTTTAATTCTCCATTTTACTCAGTTATTTTTCTACTTCGAAGTTAAGAGATAAAGCTATTTAATTTTGTAGCTTGTAATGGTTCTGTGGATAATTAGAATTTAATCTTCCAGAAAACCGTGAACACTTGTATTAACGCTTGCGTACCTTAAAACATCGGTTTGTAGTATTATTATTTATTGCAGTCTATAAATAAATTGCAAAGTATTTATTGTGATAATTGAAAGCCACGACTGGAAACCGTTCCCCACCAATAGGCTGGCTATTTTAGAAAGTAAATAAACACATGACAAATAAATAAATAAATAAATGACTGCTCATTAGGAAGGGGGGAAACCACACCTTCAACACCATGATAATATTTGGCATAAGGAAATGCAAAAAAATTTTAACGCTACGTTAAATTAAAAGTTCTTCCAACAGGCATCCATGTACCTCTATTGGAGGTTTGAAGATTGAGTTGCTGGTGACCATTTCTTTTTTTTCATCTCCATTTCCTAATCTCAAAACTATTCGCTGGGCCTCTCTCTGAACACCTTCGCTGTACTGATTGTTGCTTGCCTCTTCGTATCGGTCCATCCATGCCTTGATTTTAGTCTCCCACCCAAAGTTTGAAATATCAGAAGGATCAATCTCCGGAGCCGAGCCCTAAGTGAAAAATAGAAAGAGAGACAGACGTAAATAGAGGGCATGTTTTCGGAGCCAGCTTGACTCAAAACATCTGTGAAAAACATAATTACCTAATTTGTGCACAAGATGCATGAAATTTAGCAATTTTTTCTACAAAATTAAGGGCTCTCAATGATATGGTCTCTTGACAATCACCATACCTTCCCCTGGAGTTTCAATCAAATCCTGCTCCTGCGCCTCACCTTTAACTGAAATAAAAACCTCAAAGTTAAGATACTCTTCACTTTCCTAGGGTTTTTTTTTTTGTCAGTTTTCCTGCTCACAGATTCTCTCCATCCCACAAAACCCAACTGCTTTACTTTATGGAAGCCAGACTGCCGACGCTACGCTCTCAGCTGATGCGCGCTAGTGGCCCAGCACAATTGTACACAAATGACAGTGTTTCTGTCGTGGTAACAGACATTTTTCTATTAGATTAATAGCAATAGCACTTAAGACTTATATACCGCTTTGCGGTGGCTTTACAGCCCTCTCTAAGCGGTTTACCGAGTCAGCGTAGTTGCCCCCCGACAATCTGGGTTGTCATTTTACCAACCCTGGAAGGATGGAAAGCTATGTCAACCTTGAGCCGGTCAGGATCGAACGGCTGGCAGTGGGCAGAGCTAGTTTTGCACTACTGCATTCTAACCACCGCACCATCCCCACAGCTCTTTAATTAAGATTTGGGGACGCGCTTTTGTTGTGGTTCTAGTTTCCCTTAAAGAAGTCAGGTGCAATGCTAGGTATCTCCTATTTGCTCCCAACGCTTTTCTTTGTGTCCCCTTAAACAATATGGTTAGTGTTTATGTGAACTCTACTGTGAGAGGATTTCCAAAGGTATATATATCAACCAACAGAACTGGAATGGGCCTTTTTAAGAGGCTCTAGAAATCCTTTTCTTAGCAATCTACTTTATTCTATCTCTTCAAAGCTGCCCTTGAAAGTATGTGATGCAGATGAAGCTGTCATCTCACAGCTTCAAATCCTCAAATTTCCCAGTGTTGAGAAGATTGGGAGTGCAGTCCAATCATCTAGCAAGCATCCTTACTGGTGAATACTAGTTTATCAATTGCCCTTCAAGTTACTGTAGTAGCTCAATTGCATTACAAGCAATATTTATACATCTCTGTGGGGTTTTTGTGTTACGTAGCATTTACGCTGTATTTTTAACTTAATCTTTTATGAACATTCGATGCAATTGGCCACCTTAGGCATTAGTTTTACAAATAAGAAGATATAAAGGTTTAAAACAGTGTAAAACATGCTTGATAACCAACCCTTTGACGCTCGTTAATCAATGAACAAAAGAGCATTCCTTAGTATAGCGAAATAAATAGTAACAAAAACATAAACAACGTATTTTACCTTAACTCTTGAAGATTTTCTGGAACCTTCACGGAAAGCCTAAAAAAAATTACATCAGCGTACAAGATTAAAATAAATATTCTCTGAAGGAAGATTCATCTGAAAATATTCATCTTTTCATCATCATTGTGCTGCAGAAGACAAAAAGCCTTCGGCGGCACTATGAAACGCAGACAAATTCTCCTTATGTTTTGCCGGTAGTAGAATGTAATTATTCTATGTGTGGAAGCCCAGTGTGAGTTCCACCAAATTGTGGGGATGTATGTAGCAATGAGGAGACTACAGTAAGAGACTGTGTAACTTTATAAGTCAATATTACTTCCTAGCTAATATTTTCCTCTGCCAATTTTCACCTGATCTCAGGACCACTGTCTCTCCGTGCTATTTCTATGCTCTTTATATCAACCGGTTCCGATACAGACCAGTTCTTGTCACTAACACCCTCTTTTTTAGAATCAAGAGAGGAGATCCTTCAGTTTTTCTTTTTATTGCCTCCACCTCTTTTAATGTTCGATTTCCACATGTCAGAGATTATATTGTGGATACTACAGTGTCTAAGAAGCGCTGAAGCAACTGAACATCAACCTTGTTGGAGCAGGTGTTCCTGGCTCCTTAAGAAGCCATCACTGGATTCCACTGTTCTGAACAATTTTCGTCAGATCTCCCTCGTGCAGAAGCTGGGGTGTTGCAACCCCCAGAGAATCCTGGAGGAAGCGGAATATCTGGGCCCTTTTCGGTCAGGTTTAAGCCCAGATATGGGACCAAAACAGTGGCGGGATGGAAGTGGTGCATCCATCCACGCTCTTCTTAATCTCTGGGAGGCCTTCGATCAACCATGGGTGTTCCTTTGTGCTGACATAAGGAGTTGTGTATGTGTGGGGGGAGGGGGTGGCACAGTTCTGTGCTGGTTCACCTCTTTCCCCCAAGGCCAGTCCCAATTGGTGTTGATAGGGAGTGAAAAGCCGAGCTCATGGCCCCTGCTTTGTGGGGTGCCACACGGCTCTCTCGGCTGACATGAAGCCACCTTCGTGAAGGGGATAGGCGGTTTTAAAATGTATAAATAAAAATAAGCCTTCAGTTTCAGCTTACTTTTTTACATTTTGTGATGGTTTGCTCTTTCTCTCCGCTTTTTTTCCTTTTCTTATCTGTGACCTTTGTAACTCGTGTAGCAGTTAGCGTAATTGTAGTTGGTGTGTGTTGAAAAGCAGTATATAATTCGACAGGAACCTCATCACCACTTTCTGTTGCACTGGTATCCCCATCTTTAAAATACAAATGGAACAGGAAAATTATCTCACAGGACTGAAATATTCCATGAATTAAGCCATTGATGGTTTAAACTATAGTAACTGCATCTACAATTACCAAAATGTATGAAATAGGACAGGGGTAGGCAACCTTGGCTCTTTTATGACTCATGGACTTCAACTCCCAGAATTCCTAAGCCAGCTATGCTGGCTCAGGAAGTCTGGGAATTGAAGTCCATGAGTCATAAAAGAGCCAAGGTTGCCTACCCCTGAAATAGGACAACAAGGAGTTAGTAATATTAGCATCCATTAGATCATGGGCTGCGGTGACCAAAAAAAATAATTGTTTAGATTTATAGTTCTTTAAATTCATTAAAGCTTCAATTTTTCCAAAGCACAAAGATTTCCATAAACTAAACATAGTTTATATCAAATTACATCTCTATTATAAATTCATGTACTTATGTAAGTTTAATCCAAATGTAAGATTTTGTTCTGTGTTTAGAACAAATATTAGGATGCAAGGTTTTAGACCAAGTCTAACAACTTAGAAGAAAATGACTAAAGGAAAATATGTTTCACAATAGTTTCAATCACACTAATAAAATAAAAACAAAGCCAACCTCCTTCCAACTAATGGGGAAACAAATGTTATTCAACAGCATTTCCTAAAGCTAAGACTTATTCCTTCAGGTTCCAAATAAATTTGAAACATTGGCTATCATCTCTGTTTTCTTCCCAAAGGCCTCTCTAATGCCACTGTAAACTCATAATGCAAAACATTAAGAAAAAAAGGAAAGGCTATCACATACATGGTGATCTTTATAACAAAAGGTCACCATCAACTTCGAATTACTCATTGCTTCACTGTTTTGTAGGAACTGTCAGCAGAAGTCAAACAGAACAATTAGCAAAAAAAAAAGTCCCTTTTGGCGTATGCAAATGTCTCCTAGGTGTCTTCAACACTTCCTCAAATTTAAGGCTGGGTTAAATTTATAAGTGGCTTGCCGTTTGGAAATACGTATTTTTATTCAACTATATATTTTATCATTCTAAAAAAAAAACCTTCCACTCTTGAAAAAAAAAAATCCTCACCCAGCATCCATTATTAAGAACCAAGCCTTTTTCTTCCTGAAGCAGAAAAAATTGCAGCAACATTATAATAATAATAATAATAATAATAATAGTAAAGTTGGAAGGGACCTTGAAGGTCATCTAGTCCAACCCCCTGCTCAGGCAGGAAACCCTTTCGGACAAATGGCTGTCCAGTCTCTTCTTTAAAACCTCCAGTGTTGGAGCATTCAGTGCTTCTGGAGGCAGGTTGTTCCACTGGTTAGTTGTTCTAACTGTCAGGAAGTTTCTCCTTAGTTCCAGGTTGCTTCTCTCCTTGATGAGTTTCCATCCGTTGCTTCTTGTCCTGCCTTCAGGCGCCTTGGAGAGTAGCTTGACTCCCTCTTCTTTGGGGCAGCCCCTGAGATACTGGAAGACTGCTATCATGTCTCCCCTCGTCCTTCTCTTCATTAAACTAGACAGACCCAATTCCAGCAGCCGTTCCTTATTTAAATACGCCACAATCTTCAGAGAAAAATAAAATAAAAAAGAAACCAAATCTGACCTAATGAGGCATGCTAACTGTTTTAGCAGCTTTTGCCCCCGAAGAGAGGATATTTGCCAGATAAGCAGATTTGGTATTTCCCCCATTTCAGAATAAACCGCATATAAACCTAATACTTCATTTTGCGGCAAAATTATATAAGAAAACACACCCCGGTTTATACGAGGCGCTTAAAGCCATTTTAGTCTATTTGGTTGCCACTGATTCCTGCTTTCTGTATTTTGTCATTACTTTTGCTCTGTATTTTATTTCTCTGTGTTGCAGACTGTCCAGAGTGTTCAATGATTGGAACAGTCGACAAATATTGTAAAATAAACAAACTCCAGCATCTTCGTATCACCAGTAGGACAACCAATTTTAGCAAAGCTGAGAAGCAAGACGTAAGGACTTGGAACAGCACCCAAGCTTCCTTCAAAAAGTTACTGCAGAGTTGTTATTTTTATTACAAGCATAATAGTTAACTAAAAACACAGGAAATAATTTTACAAGATTTGGTTAATTTAAACAATGTGCATTTGTCTTAGAAGGAAAATATTCAAAAGATGTTCTGTACACAAATACTGTTAAGTTATTTGCATAAAAATTGGTGAGCTATTTGCATACAAACAGGTTTTGATGAGCAAATAAAAACATTCCATCTATACTTCTTAAAGGATGTTTATTGTTTAGCAAAACCGGGTGGGGGTTGTCAACAGCAACAGTGCTCGGCATCAATATAATTATCAAGAACAAACCTTAGAATGTAATGAATTTTTTTTTACCTACCTGACATATTTTCCCTTTTTCTACGCTGGAGCAACACTGCTCTTTCTTTATCTAAGCTCCTTTTAAAAGAGAAAAAAAAAAAGAAACTAAGTAAATATTAAGATTTTGATGGAATATCAAAGCTTTTTTTTTTAACAAATGGCCTATGTGCATTAAATGTAATAAACAATTAAAATAAAAATGGCTGTATCCGCTCACCATACTAATTCATTCGTTTTTGCTCTTTGAATACAATATCAAACTTTTAGCCTGGAGCTCTCCACTCTGGGAATTTTATACTTGGTAGAAAGCATCCATTTCAAAGCACAGAACTTAAGCAATGCAGTGTCATCTAAATCTCTGTCACTTTAGTATTCCAGCTTCATACTTAGAGAGACAGACTAGCCCTCCTAAAGCAAGATTTGTATTCTGACAATATTCAAAACATAGAAACCGTCTCAAACTGGGTTTGTTTCTTCTAATACAATAACAGAATGCCTATACTGCACTATGGGTATTTTTTAAAAAAAATTCTGGCAAATATTGTGTGAACAGAACCAGAGGAAATGTATTCAGTAAATCGAGGTTACACGAGCCACATCCTGTTATAAACTATCTCGTTCTTCTGCCAATTCTTCATAAGATGCTCCAGCTAGTTTTATCCTATCTTATTCCTCCAAAGGTTGACTGGCCATTAGAAAGAGAGACATACACAAACCTCCTTTTTAAAGGATCACATTTTTTCCAGTACATAGAGAGGTGGATTATTTCTCAGATAAAATGACAATTATGTTAATTATGAGTAATCTTGATCCAGAGAACAGCAATAACAAAATACTGCTTAATGTATGCTTCAGCCTGCAATGCTTGTGATTAAAAATAGATAGATAGATGATAGATAGATAGATAGATAGATAGATAAGATAAGATAAAAGTAAAGATTTGAGAGACTTATCCTGTCACCATTTTTACCCATAAAAGTAAGTAATATTCTCTGTATGTACTGGAGCAATGATGATTATTTATTCTAATAATAAAATGAAGCAAGGTAAAGGTAATGTCCAAAGGTAATAAATATCAAATCTTCTTTAATTCAAGTATCATTATGAAAAAGGACTATTTTTGACAGCCCTTTTACTGAATGAAGAGTGCCACCTTTTAAAATAAATGGTTCTCTTTAATATAATATTCAAATGTATTGATATAATGGAGAGGAGATGTTTATCTTCATCTGCTCGTATTTTGTCCATGTTTCAAATCATATGCCAACACAAATAATATATTTTCAGTTATGCACCACTCACCTAGGCTGGCAACGCTCACAAAGGTATGTGTCAGGAATATGCTGCCTCTCAATCCCCATGCAATCAATGTGCTGCCAAACACTTAAAATAAAGAAAAGGAGAGAATACAGTGTTATCTTCATACTTTTCAAGATTTAGACAGTTCATTCAAGTTTCCTTGTGACTGAAGAAAATTATTTTCCCTAACACCTGCTATCATTTGCAATTATGATATGCAAAATGTAGGGAGTGTTCCATTATTGCGGTTTCAAAGAGTCTCCTCTCTAAACAATGTAGGAAGTGCTACATTACTCTCTTTTTGAGTGTTTGGATATCCTGCACGTGGCTTGTTTTGTTTCTGTAATTCCTCTAAAGCCACAAAGCCTTGAAGGAAGCATTAGCTGATAAGCAGCAGCCACACGGTTCAATCCTCTGCCCTCAGCCAAGCTAATTGAACAGGGCTGGGATGAGGCAGTATCATTTCTCTTTATATATATTCCTCTTTGCCTGGCTGCTTTTACTCTTGTTTTTAAACAATTTGTTATGAAGAAGGCAGCAATGTTACTGTCTGTCTGGGTGTTGTGCTTTTATTTTCAGGCAGGATACCAAATCTTGAGTTTATAGTCTGCATGTATACTATAATGAATGTTGCTGTACTCTCAAACATGGACATAGTCAAATGCAAAATTTAATGGCTTTGTTAACATGTTTTAACGTACAGGCAGGTTGGCAACATATGTGCATTGTGAATGTTTGTTTGGAAGAAGCATTAAGCCAGAAAAGTATATTTTTGCTGTTGGTCATTGCTACTGCTTCCTTTTAGGTTTATTCTACAGCTGCTTGTGAAAGCAGGTCAGACTGCAAAAGCCATTCTTAGCTGTTGCTTCCTTTGTTTGCTCTGGTAATTTTTAAAATGTTTGCTTTGTTTTATGTTGGCTAATTCTTCTGTAGGTGGGATGGAAGGTAGCACTCAGCATGGTCCCTAGGACAAAAGATAACAGCAATGAGCTTGTTTCAAGTTCCCATTGCTTGGACAGAATGTTCTGATGGGATCGTTTTATTCCAAGCTACAAACATTTGTTTTTTTTTCTTTCACGCACTTGCCTATTCTTCAATTTTAACAATATGATCATTCGGAAAGTTACTTTCTGACTGAAGAGTTAAAATGGGCACAGATGTTTTTTCTGGATAGCAGTTTCTCCAATAAAACCAACATTTGCTGTATGGAGTTTCATTAATGTGGGTTTTTTAAAAAAAAAAAGTTCAAAAGAAAGTTGCTGCTAATATACATGCTATATCGCCATCAAGATTTCCCATTGCAGAGATTTTAACTCCCACCATGTCTGTCAGACATGCAGCACCTTCAGAATTATACAATTTGTATACAATTATACAAAGATTCCAAAAAACAGACCTCTTTGTTCATTAGCAATAGCACTTAGACTTACTGTATATACTGCTTTACAGTGCTCTCTAAGCGATTTAGAGTTTTACAGAGTCAGCATATTGCCCCCAGCAATCTGGGTCCTCATTTTACTGACCTTGGAGGGATGGAGGCTGAGTCAACCTTGAGTTGGTCAGGATTGAACTCCTGACAGTGGGCAGAGTTAGCCAGCAGTCCTTCATTCTAACCACTGAGCCGCCAGGACTCCTAGCTACTTATCACACAGTTCTGAGCTATGATCCTCAGCCTGATCCCCACTTGCAGAGTCTCTGCTGACCTGATGGCCTGTCATCTCATCTATCCATCCTGTGAGCAAAAGGGTGTCCAACACAATGACAAAATGGTGATGGCTTCTATTGTTGCCACATTTGCCTCATGGCCTAAATACTTTGTTAGTGAGGGAAATCTCACCGAACAACCAGAGGACCAGCATAGCTGGTAGTAAGTAATACTAGGTATAAATGTTTCAAAATGCTTGTGCGTACGGACTACAGGTATTTTACCTGCATTTGTCACAACAGATCATATAGCCATCGTCGTGGGTGAATCCACAAATGCACCGAGTTATATCAGTGCCGTAGCTTCCATCCTCAGATGTGCTGATAGTAGTAGCACTGGATGTCTCATCGAAATTTGGAGCAGTGTATATGCCTACTTCATTCTTGCTTATAAGAACGGAAGGAGGCGGCGATGCTGGGGGTGTTGGAGGAGGACGAGCGCCATAATTATGGTCCTGAAAAAATTAAGTTATATAAAAATCATCCATCTTTTCATAAGACCTTTTTTTCTGGAATTCATGCATAGAATTATAAATCTGACCTTTTCAACATTTCTCCCACCAGCTCAACTTCACTTACGATCGTGTAAACAAATATATGTTTAAAATCTCTGAAGCGAATTAGCATTAAATAATATTTACCATTCTTTTAAAAAGGAAATGAATAGAATAGAATAGAGCTGGAAGGGACCTTGGAGGTCTTCTAGTCCAGCCCCCTGCTCAAGCAGGAGAGCCTATACCATCTCAGACAAGTGACTGTCTAGGCTCTTTTTAAAAATCTCCAGTGATGGAGTGCCCACGATTTCTGGTGGCAAGCTGTTCCACTGGTTAATTGTCCTCACTGTCAGTAAAATGCATATTACTTTATCCATTCTGACACTACTGAGGCTTTATCATATGCATTTCTTATCCATCCTGAATAAACAAAATCTGATCATCATTAATGTTTACATCAAGGAAAATAGTTAGGCATCACAAAGCATGTTGCTGGGTAGGGCTAAATACAAACCAGGGTTCTTTAATTATGATATTATACGACATACTTATTCAGGCCAAATGTTAAGACTATCAAGAGAAAGCACATCTTCTTTCTCAGTATAAACACTAATTTCATTTAAGCAGAAGATGAATCCTTCAATGCAGGATTAAAATTTCCATCTTTTTTATAGTTGTAATAATTGGTTTAGGGGGTATTTACTTAGAGAAGGAAAAGCCCTACTTTAAGGAAAAGCCCTACTTTATCGAGTCATCGCTGCAAGCACCAATTTTATAAGATGCTATATTAAAACAAGTAGTGATATGATCAGGTGATTGGGTAACGATAAAGCAGCCAAGAAAATGGCACCAAATTTCTATTTGAACACAAGGCAGAGCAGTAATACATTCAAAATGGACTTGAATGGATTTTATTCTTCTCGCTGCGCCAACCTGCTGCTTTCTTTACATGCAACTGGAGACTTTACTGTAGGAAAGCTTTGCTGTGTGGAGACATTTTAAAGGACTATGTAATTTGTGCAGATTGTTTAAAGGCGTAACAATCAGAGGAAGTGTAATGGCAAGTAAGGCAAAGCTCCAGCTTTAATTGCCATAGGACTAGGTTTATAAGATCAGGCTGGTCAAGGGCAATTCTATCGTAATTTTAGCTTCCAATTGAATTTATAAGCCCAATTCTATTGTTCAAGACAAAACAATGACAGTCGTAATAGCAGAAGAATTTGAGATAAACATTGTAAAGAACCATTGAAACCAGCATCTTCTATAATGACGTTGAGTTTGGATACGCCTGTGAGCTGTTTTCATAGCAAGCCAAACTAACTCGCCAAAACACAATTAAATGTCTGGAAGCTTAAACAGGATCTAAAATAAAGGCTTTAAAAAAAGAACATACCGCATAAGGCAAACCAATGTAACTGTGTGAATGATGAGAGCTGCTATTATATAGTTGGTGTGGATAACTGTTTGACTTCTCAACTACCACAGGGCTAGCTTCTACAGATTCAGGTCTGAAAAGCAAGGAAGGTGATAAAACATTACAATTTCACATTGCGTGTGTTTTTCTCTTGCCTATGAATGCTGAGCATATAACAAACTGTGAAAATGTATACAATACAATGCAGAGAAACGTTCTGAAGGAACCCACTGCAGAAACTGGGAAAATGCTGCTCATGTCACTCATGCCAAATTGCCACTGAAGCACACATACTAGCAAGTGAGCACTGTATGAATTTTAATAACACAGGCAATGTTGTACAACACAACACAGCTGTACGAAAAATGATTGCAAGGCAAAGAGCACATTAGCATCAACAGTCCTTATTGTTTCTGCGATCACATATGAGACGTAGGAGACATCCCATATGTTGTTAACAGTATCTGAAACCCCAGTAATTTTCATCAGTGACATCTAGTGGTAGCCTTAGAGTAGCTCCACAAGTCCCCACACAAGCTGATTTTCACATGGTTATTATTCACCTTTTTCCAGTTTCTACTAGAATATATTAATTCTGGGTAGCCCAAATAACCCTCAAGTAAAATATAAAGTTTCGTCATGAAAAATATAATTAACAAACTTGTTTCAAAAGATGAAGTGATAACATTTAAAAAAAATCTATTCTTAAACTTCACACTATAATTATAGCTGAGCATATTTAAATTTACCAAGTTTAAACTTTTAAGAAAGGTATTTTTAAAAAATCTGATTCACCTATTTTGGACAAATTCAATGAATATTAATCCTTCTGCACACTGACTTTGCGCAGAAAGCAAATCAACTGAAATTTGGTAACATATATATACTGCATGCTAACAATGAAAACAATGTAACACAATAGGAAGACAAAGTTGCTATAAAGCTCTGATACTTACTCTGAGCCTGCAGCCATTTCCAAATAAGATGTTTCTGCTGTATCAACCCCCAACGGGACCACTATGCTCATGACGTTCGTTTCTGATAAATTCGTTTACTATGGATTTCTATGCATTGGTATCCAAAACACTGGGGCATGCCAGCCACAGTGCTCATTGCAAACATCTAAGTGCATCCACAAACTCTGTTCAACAACAACAACAAAAGTTGAAAAGTCACATATTTTTTTCCCAGAATGAATCTAACATTAAAAATGAAAAACACTGATTCATGGTATAATGATATTCAAACAAAATCTTGCTGAGTTTAATGACACATTCTCAACTGTGTTTAATATTGCAAGCCTAATGTATAATAGGAGTAAATTTATTTTTTTACTAAGTTATGTGCCGCGCATCTCACTGTTGAAGCGACTCTGGCCAGTTTCTCTAACCTGATACACATTTGTTAATTTTATTAATGATCCTTTCAAAATAAACTTACTTATTTGGGTTAGCCATTCTGTATAGGGGCAGAATGCTCAGACATCAAAAATTTGTAAACTGCTAGATATAGATTCATTTGCATTATTCTGCTCTGATAGTTATAGCCCAACCAAGAGAACTGGAGATTTCTCGGCAAATAAAGGTGGCCTATTGGAAAAATCTGATAATTTATCGTGAAGATCCATCATGTAAGTGGCTCAATGAAAACTTGCCCTCTACAATTAATTTCTCTTGTCTACCACAGAGCAGCCAGAGGAGGTCAGACACTCAAGCACCTTTTTGCCTTCCAAATCTCAGGTTTGACAGTCTGACAAACTCTGGCCTCCACTCCAGCTGTTGGGATGGTAGTCAAATGTGATTTCGAACAGGGCTTAAAATCCAGTTAAGTACATTTAGGATTGCAACCAAGAAAAGAAGCCCTGATGCTAGGGATAGAAAGTTGCCCTGCTTTTTCCCTTTTGGGTGAACTTCGCTGACGTCCTATAGTTCTCAGGTCCTCCCCAGTCCCCTCACAATATCCATCTGAGTAAATCACCTTTCTCTTCTCATGTCAAAGAGGTAGACACCTATAGAAATTTCTACAACGGGGGAATTGCTTTGGGAATTTGCTCTTAATGGTTCTTACCCCAAGTACTATTTAATATGAAACCTCACTTGCACGATATTGCTGGAGAATGTTATATGCCTTTATTTTTTATGTGTTCTCATTTGTTTAAATTCCTTTGAGTCTATAGGCTAGGGGTCTTCAAACTTGGCCCTTTTATGACTTGTAGACTTCAACTCCCAGAATTCCTCAGCCAGGCACACGTGCCTGGCTGAGAAATTCTGGGAGTTGAAGTCCACAAGTCATAAAAGGGCCAAGTTTGAAGACCTTTGGTCTAATCTATCTATCTATCTATCTATCTATCTATCTATCTATCTATCTATCTATCTATCTATCTATCTATCTATCTATCTATCTATCTATCTATCTATCTATCATCTATCTATCTATCTATCTATCTATCTATCTGTCTATCTATCATCCATCTCTCTCTATATATCTCTATCTAGCCTATTTATCTCTATCATCTATCATTTATCACAAGGGTCTTCAAACTTGGCCCTTTTATGACTTGTGGACTTCAACTCCCAGAATTCCTCAGCCAGGCACGCTGGCTGAGGAACTCTGGGAGTTGAAGTCCACAAGCCATAAAAGGGCCAAGTTTGAAGACCCCTGCTATATGCTATCCTTTGACACTCCTAATACTGCGAGCAAGATGGATTTATAGTTCCAAAAAAATCAAAATAGAAGTTACTTTCATCACCACTTCTTGGAATACGTGATAATGATAAAATACCATTTCGGTCTTATTGTGATGCTCAGATCTCATGGAAATGGGAGTTTTTATCTACCTTAAACTTCGGTCTCTGCAGCTGAACTATTTTTTAAATGAACGATGCCCAAATATACGGTAGTTATTTTATCTAGTTGTTGTTGTTGTTTTTTAAAAAACTTACTTAATCAATTGAGTTGTAAAGTTTACGTTCACTGTATTGCTCTCCCTATTAGAAAACATTTACTATCTTAAAATATGCATGGAACAGGACATATCAAGCACACCTAATTTGTCTGAACTATTACGTTGCTTACCATCTGTTCTGACTGCCTCAGCAGGAATGAAACTGACACATCTGCCAGAAAAATGCAGAATAGAAAAAAATTGGTTTCTAAGCAGAAAAAGTCTCACTGAATAGGAGATACTATATATATGTGTGTGTGTGTGTGTGTGTGTATATGTATAATCTATATATATAATCTCGCAACAATTATAATTTTTAAATTAATGGATAGGATTTGGACTTAGTTATGTCTAGAAAAGGCCCAACTGAAATAAAATGGACAAGTTAGACATTACTATTCTTTGCTATGACTAAATCTAGATCTAATGCAGTATTTTGAATACTACTACTTTTTAAAGGTAGCACTCCAAACTGCAAAAAAAGTGGTGGTTTCTATGTTCCACTCTGCTTATTAGGAACATAAAATGCAAGAATACCCACATAATTTTAGCTAGGATCTTTTCTGGCTATAATAATACTTAAGAAATACAGCATCCTATTATGTTAAGAAAAATTCTCTTTGGATCAGTAAGGTTAAATTTAATTAATGTGTCAAACATAATAGGTTATAAAGTCTTCCACATCCCAAATTATGCTGCCCCCTTTTAGCATTTTTTTTAATAAGGGGAAAGCATTAGCTGTGACTCCAACAACTATTTAAGAGGAGCTGATAGCAACAACTAATTCCAAGACTGTAGCACTGACATGCATAAAATATTCTTTCAGAACTTAGTTGGAAAGCCAAAAATGTCCTGTTAGCCAGAAGAAGATCAAAAGGGTTTTTTATATGTGTGCTTGTCTTCCCGAGTTTTTTCAAAAAGCCAAATCTTGAAGCATATCAAGAGAACTTAAGGGGCATTAAGAACAGTCAGTTCTGCTACTTAAAATTTATTAAATAATTTACTTCTTTAAGTATAGCCCAGAACAGGATTGTTGGCCCACTGTCTGCAACTGGAAAAATTTCCAAATATTTCCAATTGGTTAAGATATAAACTCTTGGGTGTTCAGCGAAGTAGTTAAATGAAGATAACTACACTACATTCAGAACTGGTTTTTTTTTTTTTTATGGAATCTCACTAGATACCTCTTTGCAGTCTGACGTTGTTCCATTCATTACTACTGTCTGGATGAAGTTGTTCAACCAACTGCTGTAACCCATCTTTATTACCTGAAAGCAATAGGCATCTTATAACCATGTTGTTAATATCAATGTTCTAAAAGATTAAAACTTTTGTCCATATAACTGCATTCAGTAACAGGAGCTATTTTAAAATGCATTGTGCTCTCATAGTCAACGCAAATATTTCAAACAAGAAAATAATGCATACGGATATTTACCGCACAAGCAGTGACTAAAATATAGTTTGGGAACAAAATCTGCGGATGGATCACTACTATAGGAGTAGTTTGCAACTGAGAGCCAAGGTAGCAAGACACAGCCCTCTATTGTTTCAGGCAAAAGAGGATTTTCCCAAAGGAAAGTAAGAGAGGCAAATCAAGTGAGGAAAGATATGTAGTTTAGAACACTGAGGTACAGTCCTTTCCGGGCAAGATTCACATATATTTCCACTTTTGTTACAAACCAAAATGGAGAATATTATATCATAACACCCTGCATATCTTACACACACTGCTGCACAAAAACTTTGCAACATGGCATGTTAGAAAATTACTGACAGAAAAACATGTTAAATTGATTAAGGGAGTCCCTGTGTGTAAATTGGGTGCCTTAGCCATGAAAGCCAAGCTAGGTGACCTAGGGCCAGCCACTCTCTCTCAGCCCAACTCACTTGTTGTTATAGGGAAAACAGGAAGAGGATGCTGTGTTGGATATGGTGAGGAATTCTGGGAGTTGAAGTCCACAAGTCATAAAAGGGCCAAGTTTGAAGACCCCTGCTTTATAACGTGTCCAACATTTTTTTTTTTTTAACAATGGGTAGTTTTAGTGGTACTATTAAAGAAGCTCAGGACTTCAAAAGCTCCTGATGTATAATATGCTAAATCATGCAAGGAACTGTATAAAAATGGAGGTAAAGCGTCTCTGAAGTCAGACTCAATTGCTGATCACGACACGAGCACTTTTTCAAGCAGTTTTCTTGACAACGCTATCAAAGTTTGCCATTGCCTTTTTCAGGTTAGTCTAATATAGCCCTTGTGTTGATAGCGTTCAAGTACTAACTCTATTTACCCTAGCTTGGTTTTTTTTGTTTTTTAAATGATCAGCTAAGATCATCTAGGTACTGCTACCTGCTGTGATAAGAACCAAATAAAGCAAAGAGTAAAACCCCTAAAGCCAGCCACCAAAAGTCAGACGATGTACGGTAGGTAATAGGCTTACTTGGATAATTTGACGCCAGTTGCCATCTCTCAACCTAACATAACACACGGGGCTGCTAAAAGGATAAACTGAGGGGAGACTTTCATACGCATTACCATAAGCTTCCAGAATATAAGAACATAAATATAATAAAAGCAGAAAGATAAACGATAACTTAAACGAATTCTAAGTTATCTACTAAGTTACCACTCCCCAATATTAAACTGGAATACTGCTGGAGAAGACAATCTGATCCTAACATCTTCAAAGCAAAATAAATGCAGCTAATTATGATTAAAACCACACGTACAAAAAATTCTGATTTACTGATCTGCTTTTATACATATATCATGTATACTAGCTCACTGTGTATATTTCTCTCCCTTGCTCTCCCCTCCCTCCTTCACTCTCTCCCTCCCTCCCTCCCTCTCTGCAGTACCAGGTAACGTATAATTTAGGTACAAAGAATTCTAAATATTTCCAGCTGGAAATTCTGTATTCGACATGCCACCAAGAATAGAACATTTTTATTAGAAAACCAATCATGGCCCTTTTGATTTCAGTTTTATTTACAATGTTTGCTCGTCCTTTCACTTTCTAATATCCTCCCCCCCCACACCCCAAATCACACTACATAGATGCTAAACCTGGGCATCCGGAAGCAAGACAGGTGGCTTAGCAGAGTAGTAGTTTATGAACAAAGAGCTGTTTTGATTGAAGATCTAGGCCAGAATCAGCAGCTTTATAAGGTCAGAAAGGACTCAACTGCTCATGTCATCT